AGCTGGCAGGTAATTACTAATTCTGTAGGCTGCCCCTCCACTCTGTTCACCCTTCCTTTGCTGTGCCCAGGCTTCGAATTGGATGGAGCTGCATTTATTCTTTAGTTTGTTGCTGTGCACCAGGTACCAGATCCATGAAATCACTGCTAGGGTCAAGGTCATAAAGGTTTCCTGTTTTACTTCTAGGCGTTTTGTGGAAATGCCTCAATTTCAATCAACACATTATAGATTTTAGACAAATGTGGTATGTATTTACAGAATATCATTCAGCCTTAAAAAAGTGGAAATGCTCCATATGCAACAACATGAATGAACCTTGTAGACATTATGCTACGTGAAGAAAGCCACTCACAAAAAGGCAAATACTGCATGGCTCCATTTCTGTGAAGTATCTGACAGCTAAGTTCTCAGACTCAAAGGGAAGAATGATAGTTAACACTGAGATATGAGGGGAATGAGGACTTTTCAATTGACAGCTGTGAAGTTTCAGTCAAGCAAGATGAATAATCTCTAGAGGGTCACTGTTCAACCCCAAACCTATAGCCAGACATAACACATACTTTAAACACCCTACATGTAAAATTTTTTAAGAGGGAAGACCTGTATTAAGTGCTCTTGCCACAATGAAATTTATCACTATGTGTGTGTATGTGTGTGCACATGTATGCATGTGCATGTGGAGGTCAGAGGTCAACACAGAATGTCTTCCTCAATCATTCTGCCTTGTTTTTTTTTTGTTTTTGTTTTTTTTTGATACAGGATCTCTCACTGAATCTGGAACTCATCAATTCAGCTAGACTAACTAGCCAGCAAGCCCCGAGGGTCCTCCCATCTCCACCTCCCCAGTACTGGGATTACAGGCATATACTGCCCTTGGCTTTTTACATGGGTGCTGGGGTTCTTCTGAACTCAGGTCATCATGCTTATTACAGCAAGCACTATACCCTCTGAGCCATCACTGAAGTCCCCTATAATAAAATTAAAGTGTATTTTTCATTTTATTTATTTATTTAAGTGTATTAGTGGTTTGCCTGCATGTTAAGTACATCTGCATCATGCAATACCGCAGAGGCCAGAAGAGGGCATAGGATCCACTGGAACTGAAATTATAGACTATTGTTAGCCGTAATGTGAGTTCTGAGACCCAAGCTTGGGTCCTCTGCAAGAGCAACCAATGCTCTTAACCACTGAGCCATCTTTCCAGGTCCTAAAGTATATTTTTAAAGGTCACAGACGCTGACAAGAAAACATAAATTACCCATCAACCACCAAATGTCTGGGACCATGAGCTGCGAACTCCACTACTCCACATTTATCCTTATCATGCTATGGTAGGTCAATATTATCAAGTTCAAGTTCTCAGAAATCAGAAAAGTAAAGCCCACAGGGGTTATATGACCTGCTAAGGTCACAAAGCTGGGATTTGGATTCTAACTCAGATGACCTGGCTCTGAGCTCCAATCTCTTCCACATTCCATCAGGACTGTGTTCCAATCACAGTTTCACTCTTCTAGTCCAGGGCTGTGGCCAAGTAGGGGTGTTCTCCTGTATAACTTATGCTGGCAGCATGGACAACAAAAAGAACAGAGATGAGGAGGGAGGTACCATGGCCACAGGCCTACACCTGGCCATGCGGACAGCTGGCCTATAACCTGCATTTTTTCTACCTTGTGTACAGAAAGACTTGACAACACAGTCTTAGGAAGGTGTCATGGAATTCCCTAGTAAATCTTTGTGTTTCGTGACTGCTAAGGGCTTATTCAGCAGCAGGACCAGAAAGAGAACTGCTGAGCAGTACAAGGCCTGAATATTACTGTCTCCAATACCAAGGCACATATCCCTTATGACCTCACACAAACACACAGAAGTGCACGCACGCGCACACACTCAGAACACCACTGCAGAGCCCAGACCAACCACAGTCCCTACTTTACAACTGCCCTTCACTTGTTACTACACTTTAAGTGATATCTTTGGCAAAACTGCCCTGTCCTCGAGGGCATTCCTGTTTTCTCCTGAACCTTCACCAATTCTTTCCCATCTTTCACTATTTCTCCACCAGCCCCTCTAGCTGCCTGCTCATCTGTAAGAAATTTCCTGGGAACACAGCTGCTGTCAGCCGACCCCTGGGTCACATGAGCTTTCATTCCTGGGAATCCCTGCAGGATCAGGACATCATGTCACTAGGACAGTTGGCTTCTAGGGCTATCAGCCCTGAAGTTTACCTTCAGTGAGTGCACTGGAACAGAGCTGTGAAGTTTCCCAATCCTTCCTTGACCCTGCACTGGAAACTGTCCCAACATCCCAGACAAATTTTATACAAAACAAAGCAGTCCACCTTATCAGTTCAGCTAGCCCCATTCAGCAGGCTCTTAACTGATTAGCCCTGGGGCATCTCACACTCTCAGCCCCAAGTCACTGTCCCAACACAAGCTACTTTACAAGACTGGAAACTCAACCCCTTCCCTTCTGTGGTTCACATCATTCTTTCTGAGATACCTTAAATCACAAAATGCTACTTTCTACTCACAGCTCCAAAAATAACTGTTATTCAACAATCTGGGGTAATTCTGTACGATTCTTAAAGTATCATCTTTACCTACCCTGCTGGAAGGACCTCATTGGTCCTGTTAACTACAGGACCCCGTAGAGTTCGGGGACATGACTTCCCAGTGCACTTCACTCAAGTCCAAGCCAAACTTTAACCACTCCAGGAATGGGGAGGAGGCTGGCCATCACAAACAGCCACAGAATGTCCCTAACACTGGGACACTAACATTCGGCTCTCCTGCACAGCAACAGACCAAAAAGCAAGGCTCCTAAGCTCTGACTTAGGGTCCAAATAGGCTGTGCTGTTTATACTGTCCAAGGCACCACAGAGTGGATGGAAAATAAGAGTTGGGCATGCTGGGATTTTCTTCTGTACTTACTTTGAACTCTATTATGGAGAGAAGAGCCTTGACTGGGAAAGCAAAGCAAAATACTACAGAGGGCTAAATATTCCATCCTCCTCTTAAGGGACTACAGCCCTGCAACTACTCCAAGTGTGCATGCAGATTAAGGAACCCCAAACTACAGATGAAGAGCCCCAAATGGGAGGAACAGTAACCAAACCATGCACCTGACAGCACATAGCCCACAACTTCCTCTTTATAATGTCTCCTAGTTTCAAAAACCATTGCATCAGCTCATGATCAACCTACTTCTAAACGGCTCTCAAGGCTTCTTTTTACTTTCCATATTAAAGAAGACAAACATCAAAAATTTTGCAAGGGAAAAATAAAAGTAATAACAAACATTTCCTTGACCAAATATGTAACTGGAATGGCTTTTTTCTCCCACAGAACACACATTTAAAACTGCCTCTGCCCAGTGGGAACTCATGCTTTACTTTCTCAAGCAGAGATGGGATGGGAAAAACCCACTGCTATTCCTTCTACAAAACAGAGCTCCTCTCTACCACATACTTCTCATGACTCTCAAAACATAGGTTTATTTCCTAAGTATTTCAAAGCTGGATCTTTGCTTACTTTTTTAAAAATCTATTCCTGAAATCCAAAGTGTACATATGTGTGTACGTATAATATATATTGCATAAAGCCGTTTGGCGAGCTCACTCCCCAGCTACAGCACAAAACATATTGTTTTTCCTTCATCTTCCCCCTCTCTTCTGCATAAGTACTTACTGGCAAGGCTACAAGAAAATACATCCCAAACAAAACAAGTTGTCAGTCTAATCATAAAGTGGTAAAGGAATATTGCAAAGTTTTCATTATTAAATGTCATATTTACACTAAAGTAACTGATAAAGGTTAGGAATTTGTAATGTGTTCATTTAAAGTCTCTCTCTGTCTCTCTCTCTCTGTCTCTCTCTCTCTCTGTCTCTCTCTCGCTCTCTCTCTCTCTCTCTCTCTCTCACACACACACACACACACACACACACACACACACACACACACCAGGGCTTCCATAGCATAAATGAAGCAAAGATGCCTTCATCCCCAGGGTTATGTTTAGGTGGTGGCCACATGAATGATCCTTCCAAAACCACAAACACTAAGAAACCTTCCCCAGACAGGACCCCTGACACAATTTCAATTTAAAGCAACCTGGATATGTCTAAATGATGGAGGGTATGAAGAGAACTGACCTACCTGTTAGTTGGCAAGGAACGTCAAGTTCAAGAACAGCAAGTCTAACAGGCCTCATTTTGTTTTCTATTAGTACCTTCAGTACCACAGCATTTTAATCAAGTAACTTCTTTGCAGTCCTGGACTAAAATCTTTCTGAGAAGGGACTGCTGTGGCTGGTGTCTGCACTTTATTCTCTAAACAGAATCCCTCTTTAAATTTCACAGGGAGCTGGGCTGCTCCCATCCAAACTTGGCCCTACAACATCAGACTGCCGACCTCCTGGTCATCGGAAGGGGCTTGGGGGAGGAAATCACCCAACTCAAAGAAAATGTGGGGACTTCTTGTCTGCAGGTAGTCCCCAACACCCTGCGGTTACCAGAATAGTAGAGGCACAGCGGAGTCCAAAACAGAAAAGTTACCCGCAAAGGGACCCGGCGTCACCACCACCTTCCAAGCCGCGCGACCCCGCCTTTGTCTGCCGGGAGGGCGTGCGGGCGTCGGGCCGCTGACCCCATCCTGAGGCCAGGGCAGGCGAGGGGGTGGGCGCGGGACACGGCATCGGCCGCAGCTGCGCGCCCCACGCTCGGGGTCTCTGGGTCCGGGTCCGCAGGGCTGAGGACGCAACAATGAGCCAAGCCGCAGCCCGGATCCCTTTTCTCGGGGCGTCCTGCGCCCGGCGCCCCACGATCCCGAGCCCCCAGCTCCCGCCCTGCGCCTCAACCCTCAGCAGAAGGCGCCGCGCGGTGACCCGGCTCCCCGCCCGCCCCCGCCCGCACCGTCCCCGGGGCCGGAGTCGGGCCGCTCGGCGCCGAGTCCCCACGGGCGGCCGCCTGCTCTTTGTGTCGGAGCGAGCGCCGGCCAGCCTACCTCGGCGACAAAGGCGCGCGGTGCCTCCCGGCGCGCTCGGCGACTCGCGGCGCTCCGCGGCCAGTCCTCCAGCCGAGGTGACGCGAGGACGGCTCCAGCGGCGGCAGCGACGCCCGGCTTCCGAGCCCGTCCGGCTCAGGGCGGCTCTGGCACCTCGCGGCCCCGCGCGTCGGAATTAAGCGGTGGGGCGGGGCGGGGCGGGGCCTCTGACTCCCCGCCAGGCCACGCCTCCATTATAGGCCACGCCCCCAGCTCTCTGCGCTCGGATGGACCGCAGGGCTAGGAGGAGCAGTGCAGTGGGTCCCCGGTCCGATGCCTGGGCAGGTTGTGTGCCCCGGCTGGTTATGTGACTTTGCTCTGGTTGGGTTGGGTACCCACCAAAGAGAGGCAAAGTTGAAGGAAAAAGTTAAGTGTTGCCTACATGACGAGGAGGAAATGTGGAAAGGTGAGGTGCCCACAACTGGGCCCACAATTAAACGTTCACTCCGCCTCTATCTCTGCCTCCGTTTCTGTGTCTTTGTGTCTCTGTGTGTAATGCGTGTGTCTGTCTATCTCTCAGTCTTTCTGCCGCTCTGTGTCTCTCTGTGTGTCTGTATTGTGTGTTTCTGTGTCTGTCTCTGTCTCTATGTCTGTTTGTCTCTCTCTCTCTCTCTCTCTCTCTCTCTCTCTCTCTCTCTCTCTCACTCATCTATCTATCGCTATGTCTCTATCCAGTCCTTTGGAATCCTGCCAGTCCTTCTCCGAAGAAAACTCAAAAGGAATTTGTTACAATTTGTATACATTCGTGTGGTCAACCCAGGGCTCAAAATCTAGTGGCCTGGGTTTTCTGTTTCCCTCCCCACCCCCATCAAAGGGCAGTTGGAGATTTAAATCTGCACAATCAAGGGACTGATTTGATCTTTTTAAAAATTCTCTCTGGGTTTTGTTCTCTTTGGCTCTCTTACAGCAGCTTGCTTCCCTGGCCAACCCACAAGCTCTAAGATTACCATCTACCTGAATCACTGCAGGTACTAAAGAAGGACCAAAGCAGTATCTATTTCAGGGTAAAAATGAGGCCAGCAGGTTGATGGATTCTGTAGCAAAAGCTCTTTCCTTTTCTTGGCAACTGATGACTAAGGCTTTATTTATTGGGAAAATTCTGACTCGAAGAGCTTGGGTTATCATGGCACAGAAAATTACTATCAATTAAAGGACTTCAATAAGCAAATAAATCATTCCAAAGATATCTGTCCTACACAGTGCCCTCGGCCAGTTCCTGGGTTTCCTCTCTTCCCCCAGCACCCCTGAAGCAGGTTGGGCAATGGAATTACCCACCACAGGATTTAGAGAGATTCCCCTTCCCACCAAAGCAGGTTTCTGTGACTTCACCCATGGTGTCTGCTCTTCCTCTTTCCTTCTTGCTTTACATGATTCTATTCTTGGCAACAGCTCCACTGGTCACCAATCAGAACTTGGGTTCCAGCCTAGAGTCCCACTCCATACACTGTGTGAGATGGCTGGCTATCCCCCTCCCCCATCACCTGCAGTGCCACACTAACCCCTAGACTTGGTGCCCACACTATGCCAGGGGTCCCATAACCAGCCCTGGCCCCCAATGTCACAGCCTTTTCTTCCCAGCTACTTCCTGGGTGAACTTTCAAGAACAAAATGTTCAGTTTCTGCTGTTGCTAAAGACCGCATTGGTTTAGTCACTGTGACAAAATAACGAACAAAAACAACTTTAGAGAGGAAGGACTTATTTTGGCTCACAGTTCACAAGTTGCACTCCTTCATGGCAACAGGAGCATCTGATGCCTCACTCGTGATGGATTAGGAAGCAGGGAGTGTAGGATAAGAACCAGGGCTGAGGAATAATCTTCAAAAGCCCAACTCCAAGCGACCTAGTCTGCCAACTAGACCACACCATAAAAATTCCATAGCCCCCCAAAATATCACCATCTTCTAGGGACCATGATTGAAATATGAAGCTGGAAGAGAATTCAGATTCAAATGTGTAACATAAGATAGGTTCCCAATACCTACTACATGATCAAGTCCAGGATCCCTGTTGCAGTACTCCAAAACCAGCATGTGCCCCCTGATACCACCTTGACCACTTCCATGTGCCCTTCCAAACACCCAGGACTCTGCTGAGCCACAGTCCACATTTGCTACAAGGCTCTGCTCTGTGACTATAGAAATTGGATGGAAGGGTGAATAGGTCATTTTGTGTGTTCTTCCACACAATTCTGCCTCTGCTTGACATAACTTTACCCACTCCCAGTCTCCAAAAGGCCCTGTCTTGTCTTAATAGCGTTGGTGACTATATTAGTTACTTGTCTTATTGATGAGACAAAATACCCAACAAAGGCAATTTTAGGAAGAAATTATTTGTTTTGGTGTATAGTTCAAGAGGATATGGGCCTTCTGACAGGGAAGGCATGGCAACAGTGGCAGCTAGCTGGTCACATTGTTTCAGCAGCCAAGAAACAGAGAGATGATTGCCATGCTCAGTTCTCTTCCTCCTTTTCACACAGTCCCAGACCCCAGCCTGTGGAATGGTACCACCCATATTTAGAGTGAAGCCTCCCACTTCAACTACCTAACCTGATAATCTCTCACAGACACACCAAGACTTGTTGCTGGTGATTCTAAATCCCATGAAGTTGATGGTCAACGTTACATATCACAGTGATCTAAGAAGTGCTAAGACCTCTCTCTCTCTCTCTCTCTCTCTCTCTTTCTCTTCCTCTCTCCTTTCTTATC